ATTGTTTCTCTGTTGTTGTTTTTCAATCTTCAAAGCCATACGATAGGCCCATCAAGTTTGATCACATCATGCAGATTCAATTGATCTTGAATGGACAACTTTAATCCATTGATGTGTTATGTTATTGTCCGTTCCTTAGTTTCATTTAAATCATTCCTAGATTGTAATTTGAAAAATTTTTCAGTGTATTCTTTCTATGGATTGATTTCCTTGGCGGATGTTATTATATTCTTGGAATAGAGATCGGGAATGGTCAGAAGGCAAGAATTTCCTCGCATTTTTTCTTTCATTTTTTCTTTTCCTCTCCTTATTATGTTATTTTCAAGATTTTTCCACCAGGTTAATGCATGACCCGTCAGTTTTAAACTAGCAAACCTAACTTTCTTGCTTTCGGGAGTTTTTTCCATTCAAAAAATTGTTCTATTTTGTCATTCCATTCATGGAATTGTTCAGGTTATAGTTTGCCTTCAAATTTACAAACATCAATTTTAATCCCATGATCCCACTACCTATTGTGGTTTCATGGTGCTTCATCTTGACTCTCATTGTTTTGTGCATGAGTGTTGTTTATATTTAGGGCAGCCAGATTATTAGTCATAGTTTCCATTTGTTGTTGTAGCTTAGCCATTTGTTGCATCATCATTTGTTGCCAATCAGCTTGATTATTTTGGTTATTCATTTTTCTCTTAAAAAAAAAAGATTGGCACTACAACCTAGACGCTCTGATACCAAATTGATGTGAACCTAAATTCTATAGCCAAGGAAGAGAACACTATATTAGCAACAGGGCACTTCCTTCAATAAAACATAAACCAACACAAATAAAATGAAGCTTAGTAGAAAATAGATATTAAAAAAAACGAAGAGGAAACCTTACAAAAAACAAACTAAACATAAAAACAAACTAAATATAAAAAAATGAAGAGGTCACCTTGCATGCAAATATGAAAATTAGAGAATTGTGCTCAAAGGAAAAATCAAACCAGTTTCGCCATAGAAATCTTGATCCAATTGAAGTCAGCACTCCTGCAAATATCAACAAACAGGCTTAACAACACCTCACACTCACTAAATTTGGAGAAAGATACAAGTGGAGGGGAAACCATGGAGAGATGAAATAGATAGAAGACTGGAAGAGGAAATAGGTGTAGGAAGAAGAGAACTTTCAAGCTTAGGAAGAAAATTCTCTGGTTTTAATCAGATTTCAGCAAACAACCACCATTTTCAGTAGCAAATAGCCCCCATCATGGTTTAAAATTGCGCAATATGAGGCTCGCCTTTGCGCAATTCCAGTAAAAAACGCCTCGATGCTTACTCCTTGAATTTTTTTTATGAGGCTTGCGCCTCAACTTGGTTGAGGCCTGTCTTGAGGCCCATCTCGCCTCACTGGCATGAGGCTTACGCCTCATGCTATATATATTAAAACTTACATAAATATTGAAGTAAATGCTCGATATTGGACTCTATAGGAGAGGAGGAAGGGGAGAGAGCAGTTCACCATAATGATGATTCAAATGAAGAACCCCTTAGTGATGACAGTGCTGATGACTTATGAGTTCTTATGTGATATGTCATTATTATTTATTTTTGGAAATTGGAATTATATGTTAATGAAAAGAATATTGGGATTTGGGAAAGATAGAATTTTGAGTTGAACTATATTTCATGTTGTCTTATTATTGATATATTTTGATTTCACTTCATATCTTATACTTTTATATATTTTATATTATTCACTCATTAGTATATAAAAAATTTATCATTTTATATTTATGCAATCTTTTGATTTTGAGGCTTACGCCTCAAAACGCCATGAGGCTTACGCCTCGCCTCGCCTCACGAATGAAAAACGCCTCAATACCCGAATACGCAATTTTAAACATTGGCCCCCATATATAGAAGGAAAAAGGACCTAACAACCCCCATAAATGAGCCGCCCCAAATTACCAATAGGAGCTAACACAAGACTTGGAAACAACACAAAGGGAGGGGAATGACCATCAGCAGGTTCTAACGCCCAGGGAACAAACAAAATAGAATTCCCAAGAAAGGGAAAACCAAATTTTGCATGGAAAAACAGCAGAATTTCAACCAGCCACCATAAAATCCTGAAATAAGCATAGAACACCAAACAACAAGAAAAATGGGAAGATATGGGCCAAGCCCAATAAGGAAATATCAGCCCAAAATAAATGTCCACTAAGCCAATAATGAAACAAGAGAACAAGTTCAACATGAGTGGAAAATCGAAGGAGAGAAATTATCAATGAGCACCTAACCCAAGCATGATCACGGGTTGGTTTCCATCATAGGACACATAAAAACAAAACATAGTCCAAAATTACATAACATCCAAAACATAAATAAAATAAAAAATATAAACTGATAATCCTTGATTGCAATCACCTTTAGAGTTATCATGTTGTAGTTTATTTCTAGTAGCATAAATCATATTATTACCTTAATAGAGGAGTTGGCGATGAATGAAAGAGTATGAAAAAAGCTTTGTGTCTAGCTTATATGAGTTATGGTGTTGGCTAATGATTTATTAGCTTAGCCCCATTACCATTTGTGATTCAAAATTTTATGAAAAATGAGAATGAAAAAAAGAGAAGAATCAAGCTTATTTAAAATATTTGTATTATGACACATAAACTATTGAAAACATAAATTATAAAATTAGAAAACACTCTTCGATATTTATGATTTATCCATATTCACTAAAATGTTAAGATAAACACCGTCATTGCCAAGTCCCAATTCATGAATGAGAAAAGTGGAGGGTTGTGTTAGGTAGTTGACAGTCAGCGTAAAACTTATCGAATAATCATGACATGAATCCTTAAAAAAAACCCGAAAATGTTAAGATAATTGGTATTAGCATAGTTAAAGATGATGGGTACTTACCAAGGTGCTTGAGCTAGATTTACACGCCTCTCAGTTGAGTATCATTACTAAAATGCTATTTAGGTGAGCATGTCTCAGGCTGCACACGATAGAGGTTAATGTCTTGTCTTATGGCATTCATCATTGAAATGATCTACTTGTATTGATTTGAAATATATATCGTAAATTGCAGTAACCATGAGTTTAAAAATCGAACCAGACTGATCAGTTTGATTGATTCAACCATTAACCGGTCATATAACCAATTTGATTCATCCTAAAAATTAGTTTTTACATCAACTAGACTAATTCGGTTAGAACCGCTAGTTCAATTAGTGAACCTTGAACCAATTCAATTTTTTAAACTAGTTGATTAAAGTATTTTAAGATTTAAATAATTGAATAAATTGATTCCATTAATTTAGTATAAAATATAATATTAAACTTAATAAATTAATTTAAATATAATATATTCTAAGTTTAAATGAGCATTAAATATATATAATTATCATTCGTTAAAATGCATTAACCAACATTCTCAGTTCTCATATGACCCTATTATTCTATGTGAGTTTCTAACATATACAAAACAAAAAAGCTGTATAAACTAAGCTTGTGAAAACTAATACCTGACAATAAACCAAAAGGAGAGGTTCATGGTTTGACTGGTCGAACTAGATGACGTAATAAATAATAATATTATTAAAAATTAATAAAATTAACATAATAATTATGTCAGTCTAACCTTAAACCTCATAATTTTAAGAATTTAAACTCCATAATTTTAATAGATTATCTCTCAATATAACTAAATTATTAAATAATTAAAATAAATTGAAATGATGAATATAATTATATACTATAATTATATATATATATATATATATATATATATATATATAAGAATTTTATGATATGTACATAAAATCTCAATAATTTTAATGCTTAATGCATGTTGGTTGACCTTCCTTGAATTTCTCCCTCTTTTTCTTGTGAGTGGTGATGACAAATAATAATTAGGTGAACATACAAATATGTAATTATATGTTGTAAGCTTCTCTATTCAAATATCTACCAAGTTAAGCTCTCACAATTTTTCTCAACTTTTATCATTCATCGATTATCAATGAAATCTTAGTCATGTATTATTACATAAATATGATGAAAAATGTTCTCCATGTGATTGTAGATATAAGGTTTTACAATCTCATCAAATTTAATCTCGATTTATATTTGTTATAATATATATATATATATATATATAACATAAAGTAGTAATAATTTATATTAAATATATGCTTATATGTAAACTCAATTTAGTTTAAAAATTTTATTTAAAGATTGAAGATATTTAAATATAAAATTAAAGAAGATACTGTGTATGAATTCTATTTATTTTTTAGTCATAAAATTATATTTTTACATAATTAGTATATCATTTAGATCTTATTTAAATAATTTTAATATTTATTAGGTCATTGACTTCAACCCTCAGTTCAATTTCGGTCGAACAATTGAACCTTGAATCTCACGTTCTTTCGGTTCGTTGTGAGATGACATCCATATATTATAGTGTAATTAATCTCAATATTAAATAAAAGAATTTCAATATTTTAAAAGAATTTAATAAAGTGAAATATGTTGTTTCTACTTTATATAAAAATGAAAAAAAAGTTTTGTAGAATCGGCCAATTCTTTCGAACCTGGACCAATTCCACCGGTCGAACCGCCGGGTTATCCCGATTTAGGTCGGTTCGCTGCGAAGCCGATTTTTAAACTGGTCTTAAGGAAATGCAAATGCTAGGCAACTCTTCAAAAATGAATTTTGCTATACAGTAAGTCAAATGGAATAATCTTCTAATCTTTGAAAGTTTCTGCAATAAGGTGGAATATTATATGAAAGAAAAAAAACCGAAATCTGTTCAGAAAAATAACCTGGTGCTGTCGTGCATATAGCTGCTAAAAAATTCAATTTTTTGATGAGTTGATATGTACAAAGAAGGGCAAAATTGCAAAAGTATTAATCACCAATGAAAAATTTATTAATTTTACAAATAACCGAACTCTCCGGTCTCCAATAAATTGATAAAATAAAAAGTTTAAACTACCTAATGTCAACTTCTGTGGAGGAAAACGAGAAGCCGAACAAGCAGGAGGCGGGAGGAAAAGAAGAAGCCGGACGCGGAAAAGAAAAAGAGAAGCCGAAGGTGGAAAATGAAGCCGGAGGCGGAGAAGAAGACTCCAAATTGCCAAAGAACAAGGTAACAGCTCGTAGCCGCGCAGCGATACGAATACGAATAGGGTTTTTTTTTTGTTTTCGCCGCTTCGTATAATCTCCAAGCTGCACTCCACATTGCATCTCAGCCGTTCATTTTTTTTGGCAGCGAACCGTCCGGTTAAAGTAAACCGGAACCGGTTCGACGGTTCGGCGGTCGAACCGCCGTTTCGAGCGGTTAGGAGCCAGTTTTCTTCGAAACCGGTTATATTTTGACCCGGAACCGGCCGACCGACCGGTTCCCGGTTAACCAGGTTGAACCGGCCGGTCCGGTATGGTTTTAAAAGCCTTGGATTTAAAGATTGAAGATATTTAAATATAAAATTAAAGAAGATACTGTGTATGAATTCTATTTATTTTTTAGTCATAAAATTATATTTTTACATAATTAGTATATCATTAAGATCTTATTTAAATAATTTTAATATTTATTAGGTCATTGACTTCAACCCTCAGTTCAATTTCGATCGAACAATTGAACCTTGAATCTCACGTTCTTTCAGTTCTATGTCCGATTGAGTTTTCATAACCTTGGCGATAGTTGACATGTTTTGATGTAGGAAGAGTTGGTTTTAATGATGAAAATTTTACATTTGTTGATGTATGAACAATATTATGAGTCAATGAACGTTTTTCAAAATAAATGATCTTAAATATAGTTGTATGATTTTCAAGATTTTCAATGATAAGAAAGATGAAGGGAAATAAGAGGAATATATGGATGAATATAAATTAAATGAGAAATGGTTAAAATGGTCCTTGTATTATTTGTGGAGTGTCATTTTAGTCCTAGACTATTTAAAGTGTCAAATTTTGTCCCTTTACGTCTTATATATGATTTAATTTAGTGTCATAAAATTGATGTTTAATTTGATTTTAGTTTGACGGAAATCGCACAAATGAGATTAAAAAAATAGAGTATCTTACACAAATCAAGATGCATAAAAAATTAATTTTCCAAAATACTATTATTCCCTACCTCATTGGTGAATTTTGGGTATATCAAATTAAGCAATGATTGTAGCTATAGATCTTATGTGAGGAGTTAATAGATTAAATTGAATATTTTAAATAATTTTGGACTAAAATGAACTCCCCAAAAATAGTCTAGAGAATAAGAGAGTGTTTGAATATGGTATATATATGGCATTGAAAGGGTTTTGAATAGGCTGTTTGATAAGTAGCTTTGAACCTTCTTTGATGCCTCTGACTTGTAAGGGCTTCACAGGGCTAATGTCATGTTTTGATTGTACTTCACTAGTTTACTTGCAAACTCATATAGAAGTATCTTTTAGTTATTTTTCCTTTTGTTCATAAAATCATGGTCATGAAATGTGATTTCCATCGTGTGGCAAATAATTTTTTTTCTATTGCTTATTAAACATTTGATATATTTAGCTTTGAAGCTTGGGCACTTGATATCAAGCACTATTTTGTTTTGCTAAAGTGGTATCATTGACTCTCTGGAAGCATCACTTTAATTGTTTTCTTATTCATGCTGGTTTTTTCATCCATGGTTTAAAATTGCGCAATATGAGGTTCGCATTTGCGCAATTCCAATATAAAACGTCTCGATGCTTACGCTCGAGTTTTTTTTTATGAGACTTGCGCCTCAACTTGGTTGAGGCCCGCCTCGCCTCACTGGCATGAGGCTTACGCCTCACACTATATATATTAAAACTTTCATAAATCTTGAAGTAAATGCCCGACATTTGACTCTATAGGAGAGGAGGAAGGGGAGAGAGCAGTTCATCATAATGATGATTCAAATGAAGAATCCTTAATAATGACAGTGCTGATGACTTATGAGTTTTTATGTGATATGTCATTGCTATTTATTTTTGGAAATTAAAATTATGTGTTAATGAAAAGAATACTGGGATTTGGGAAAGATAGAATTTTGAGTTGAACTATATTTCATGTTGTCTTATTATTGAGATATTTTGATTTCACTTCATATCTTATACTTTTTTATGTTTTATATTATTCACTCATAAGTATATAAAAAATTTATCATCTTATGTTTACACAATCTTTTGATTTTGAAGCTTACGCCTCAAAATGCCTTGAGGCTTACGCCTCGCCTCACGAATGAAAAACGCCTCAATAC